TTCTTAGAGGAAACTATAATTTTTACCAAAGTAACTTTATGGTAAGATACTTGTACTTTTACTCAAGTATCATTTTGAGGTATTTTATACAACACTGGTACTGACGGTGTGACTGATGTAAAACACAGATTTAATTCTGTTTAATGAACTTTGAGGACATTTTTAAAAACACGCTGCTGTCAGTCTAATTTCTCCTCAGCTCCTGAAAACGGTGCTCGGTGGAGCCAGGCTTGGGTTTCAGCAGACATTAGCACCTAATTATCTGTCTGAAGAAGAAACGTGTTGTGTTACTGAAGCATTGATTGGATCAGCAGAGGGGTACAGTTACAAGCTTCGTCCCAATTACTGGACGTGATGGCGGACATATTGGGGGGTGGTGATGACATAAAATAATGGATCTTCATCYAGAGATCGCTCCACAGAAATGTGTCCTGTAAAAAGAGGATGATGAGGGAGCTACGTTTGCTGAGATTTCTGGTAATGTTGTGGCMAAAATACTTCTTTTCAGGTCGTTCTATATCCCAGGATTCATTGCGTCGTCAGCAAACTGAACAGAAAAACAGATGGCGGAGTTTTGTTTTTTAATGACGTAGTTTGGAAATTCATCACAGTCTGAAGAATTCGTTTTTAAATGTAAGTTTAGCAACGTAGCTGATGAAATTTATGCTGCAATGAGATGTTAAATCACATTAAAGTTACAAGTACTGACACTGGAGCTAAAGCCAGATTACAACAGTAATGTCTTTTTGTGGTCACGCAAACATACGTCATCCAAAGACTACACGTCTCATTTCACAGCAGCTTATGCATCCTACTTGGGTTGTGAGGGGGTGTGGCCTACCTGGGCTGTGAGGGGGTGTGGCCTACATGGACTGTGAGGGGGTGTGGCCTACCTGGGCTGTGAGGGGTGTGGCCTACATGGGCCGTGGTCTAGTTAGGCTGCAGCCCCTGAACTGACACCCAGCTTCACTCTTGGTTCTGTTTAAAGGGAGTCTTTCCTTCCTACTGTCGCCTCAGTGCTGCTCAGGGTGAGACAACGTGACGAAGTGATGATTCCTACAATGTTACTTTTACATTGCGGTTAGCTTTGAAAATAGTATATTATTAATAATAATATTTTCAGGTTTTATTGTGCTGTTATATTTTTAACTATTTTAAGACATCCATTGATGGATTTATGTTTTTGATTAAACTTAGTCATAAACTAAACTCTGAACATTTGACTTCTTTAAATCTAAAGTGTGATTTAAATGCTTTGGATGGTCAACAGAACTATAAATTCCTCCCCAAAGTGCTGAGTGTTAATAAAAACTTACTGTTCAGCCATTTTTCTCTTCGTTCCTTCATTTTCTCTTTCTTCGTCTTGATTTTCTTTTCTTCTGGGTCTGTGGAAACAAAGCACATCAATCCAAGGACGGCTAACATCGTGTACAGAAGATAAACTAAAGACAAGAAGTCCTTCTGTCTTCATTTACAGTTGATTTATTTATTGTTGATTTATTTATTGYTGATTTATTTATTGYTGATTTATTTATTGGTGCTCCATGTTGATGGTTTTGAACTTCTCCACAACTTTGTCTCTAACTTGTGTGACGTGYTYCTTGATCTTCATGAGTCTCTTTCAGAAGTCAAATCTGTGAAACCACCACACAGACTGGCCCGGCTTTATTTCCCCACTCGCCTTTCTACCTCTGTGTTTCTTCTGAAGGCTCGGAGGAGGACAGAACACACATCAGTCCTGGACTGAGCCGTCTTAGGCTCATGTCTCTTCATACCTAATGGTCAGCATGACTCGTTGATTTGGACCACATAAACCAAAGCACAACCATCTGAACCACAGGTCCATCATTACCAGACCTGGCCCACATYTGGTTGACAAACCTCTTGTTTTATAACCTGTTTTTGGTGTCCAGCTGACTGCCTGCTGCCATAACACAACAACCAGACTTCTGTAGCAGGAATAGAACAGCTTTTTGTTTTTCTATTTTACATAATTATTAAGTGGGAGATTCTGTGTGTGTGTGTGTGTGTGTGTGTGCGCGCGCTCTGACATTAATCTGAACCAGCCCAACAGGCAGGAGGATGGACACTCCTGAGATGTCGGCAGGCTTTTATCTGCCACCGCAGTGCTAAAACAACAGAAGTGTTTCTGCTGCTGTTTGCAGTAAGAACAGGCAAAGATAGGCATCAGCTGCTGACTACCACTGTGGGAGGAGGTGAAGAAACCTTATCTCCCAGAGGCAGGTGGGGGAGGGGGCGTGTTTGTGGAGGGGGGGGACGGACGGAAGGGGAATGGGAAGGGTTGCTTTACCACCACTGTGCTCCCACAGAGTGCATCATCTTTCCACTGCTGGATGAAATGGATAGCTGTGATTACGGATGATTGAAAGAGACTCGCTCACAGAGCCACATGAATCCTGACAAAACATCCCAACAGACTGCCTCACACAGGAAGCAGTAAACTATTCACTTCTGCTTTGTTGTCTTTCTATAGAACATCTGTCTGTCTGTCTCTACTTTATTTATTTATTTATTTATTTATTTATTTATTTATTTATTTATTTATTTATTTATTGTCTCCCAACAGGTATGGGATGAACATTATGAAACTAGGCCGTAATTTAGCACTACATTAAATATGTGGAGGTGCAACAATTCAGATAAATGGCAAATTGTCTCACTAGCAGCGCAGCCCCTCTGACTAGTGCTGGGCGGTATACCATTTTGTACCGAATACCGGTTGTTATTTTTGTTAAGAATTTTTTGAATACCGGACATTCCAGTTTAAATAGCGGAAAGTTTCGTCGCGGCCGCCAGTGAACTGTTGTTTCCCGGGGGGAAACAACAGTTGCTGCGGACATGAAAGCGCCCGCTGAGCAGCAGGCGGAGAGGAGAGCGGAAAAAGTTCACAAACTTATTTCTAGCAGCAGAACAGGTTAAAAGATGGCTGTCTTATGTTGTTTATTGTTTATTTAATCATCCTACAGGCTCTGACATGTTAGATAAATTTGAAAATCAGGTTTTGAAAAAATCCGTAAGACTTGAAAAAATCCGTGAGATTGCTCTATACGTCCGTATACCTGCAAAATGATGTAAAATCCTTTTAACTTACAATCTGTACAAGTTGACATGTATGAGCAGGGTTTGTACATTTTATTATCAGCTGAGCTGTGATGAAAAGAAAAATACCGTCAAATACCGTGAAACCTGTGAAAATGTTGAAAATACCATGATATAAAATTTTGATCATGTCGCCCAGCCCTACCTCTGACTACTTTAACTTCTGCAACATATTTGGTACAAATATGCACCAGAAGYACTTTGGCACCGTACTGTAAAATCTACAGGAAGTCAAACATTCAAAATGAATTTTTACATGTCACACAAATATTTTATTATTATTGTCAGCAATGCACACTATTGTGATTCGTTTCCCATCCAAGTCATCTCAACTTTGCCATGCTTCTCCTCCTGCATACTTTSTCCTACAGCTGCCATTGTAATTTATATCTGTAAAGCCCCTGTGCCAAATGATGGCTATGCCTTTTGGTACCTGTAAAACTTATAGTTTTTGAAGTATTAATGTTTAGTACATTTCAATGGCAGTCAATGGAGCCTTGTATTGGTCCATTACTGCCCCCTGCTGCATCTACACAATATGGTACTGCACCATAGTTTAATAATTTTTAAACTCAGTAGTTCAGTGATTACAATATTAATATGATTGTATTTTGATGTTTTACTTTAATACTGTCTTAATGTTGTCCTATTGTTGTAATATATTGCAGTTTAGTGTCAAAGATTGCATTGGCAATGTGGCCTCTTTCTGCACACATACAAACCAWCTCCTGGCAATCCCCTCTGCCACAGCTCCAATGGTCTMATGGTTAATGCCATGGGCTCTCATGTGTGAGATCAGAGTCAAAACCCAGCTACAGCAACTTTTAACAAAAAATCTCTACACACTTCATCTTGTCACACAATTATCCTCATTACAAATACCTACTGACTTGACAGGCACAAGCTGGTATAGAAAACACATTTGAACTTGGTCACAGTTCGTTCTGTAATTCCAATGCTGCAGGCAAA